AAAGCCGGCGTTGCCCCAGGCAACCACAGATCCATCACCCTGGATTGCAGCAAATGCATCATCAGAAGCTTGGATCTGCTGCACATCTCGCAGCTGATCCTGTACCGCACTGCTGTCGCCACCATAGTCGGCATCACCCCAGGTGACCACGGATCCATCGCCCCGGACTGCAGCGAATGCCCCATTGGACGCTTGGATCTGCTGCACATCTCGCAGCTGATCCTGTACCGCACTGCTGTCGCCGCCAATTGTGCCATCACCCCAAGTGACCACAGATCCATCACCCAAGAGAGCGGCGAACGCAGAGGTTTGTTGGCTTTGTCTGATGGCTTTGAGCTGCACCTGGTTCACATGGAGACTGAGCTTGTCTCCACTCATCAACTTCGCTTCTGCGATTGTTTGTGCTCCGTCCAGCACCTCTCCAGAAGGCTTCAGCAGCCGCGCCCTTTTCGGGACCACCAAAGCTCTCTGTGCGCGGCGCTTCAATGACTCAACAGATTCATCCGCCTCCACTTCAATAGAGGCAACCTTGCCACTCAACAGATGCACATCCACAGAAATCGACATGGCATAGTAAGAATAGCAGCAATAATAATGACAACAGCCCAGCATGTAGAGCCTACTCGATGCTAGGATCCTCAATCCTGGACCGTTTTTAGTATACTTCCCGAAACTGAAAAGTGCCCAAGTGTAGGATTCAGGGCACCTTGCATACATGGGTTTAGGATTCAGAGGGGTATCTATGAAACACCATACTGCAGAGCCAGAGCGAGCTTCTTAAGTTCGATAGAACCACGCCTCGTCTCTAAGCTCCCGGCTTCTCAGAGGCCGCTACCGCTGTATGCCTGACGACAGGCGCGGCTTCTTTTTAGGATTAAGCTGGGGGTGTTTACGGTTTGGCGCTACGGTACAGTCCGCACCACCAGGCACTAGTAGCGACTGGAAGCCGCCCATGCATGATGCATGCCCTGGCAAGACGTGCAACCACCACTGCTAGAGCGGCACAGTGGTACAGGAACAGAACAAGCTATAACAAGCCTACCAGTGGATCTGGCCGTAGATATGCCCACAGCACGCAGCCCGCGATACTACTTACTACACAACTGTCAAGATTGCCATGTGCCAGTGCACCCGCACTCCGACCTCCGAGCGCTATGCCATCCAGGAAAGGGCCTGCGCCGCCTTGCAAGTTTGATGTCTAACTTTCTGGTATTCTGCCGTGGGAATCTGAAGGAAGACTCGCAAGGGTTCGTGGGGTTTCAGCATCCGGGGACCGTAAAGGCTCTAGAGTTTCATGTCCTCAGAAGCTTAGGAGGCGACCGGCTCGCCACCGAAGCCTCAGAAGAGGCGCCAGGGCAGAATTTCCCACGAAAGCCTAACTTGGCCCAAACCCGACTGATCTCCCAGCTCCAAGTGCACCCAAAACCCGGAAAGGGTAGCGGCCCTTAGACCAACTTCCTCAGTTCCCTTCATGCAGCACGAACGTGCAATCCGTTTCGGCTCCAGCTCAGCGCTCAGGCTTGGGAGGCCTGAATGAACGTCTGCGGCGTGCGAGTGATGGTTTTCGTGAAGTATTGGCGACACACCTCTCAGGTCTCTTTCGGCTTCAGGTTGCCTTTGTCTCGGTCTTTCAGATCAGCAACAAAGCTACGAATCCTTCATCAGCCAACCACTCTCAACGGTCGGCACAACTTCTGCCAAGCCGACCAATTCGAAACCTAACCTCAACAAGACTTTAACTTGAATTTCGGCATCCCCGAGAGTTGAAAACAGCCTTGTTGAGACAAGGCCCTGGACACCTTATATTTGATCAACACCGAAAGCAGAGGCCCGGAACCCGTCCACAAGGACTCTGCAAACTCTGGGGCGCTCGCGGCAGCCAGGGCCCCTGTGAGAAGGCCCCTTGCCCCCAGGAGCCCTCGCGGCATGAGGCATTTCAAGCTTGCGGACCTTCTTCTTGCTGAGCAAACTGAGCAAACTAGGCTCAATGTACGGGAGATATCGCGCTGCCTGCACCGAGGCGGGAGGCGGAGGAGCTCGAGGCGCTAGAAACCAAGCCTGCACGGAGCGCTTGACGCTTCATGAAGCCATGGGTGCGGCCCAGATGTCACGTGCGCAGGCTGGGGCACACGTTTGATGCACACGACGGCACGACGGCTGCACACCGTTTTGGCTTGAAGCACTAAGCCACGTCAACAGTGTCGGTCTTCTCGTCAATTAGCTGCAGGGCAAGCCGGAAGAGCCTGGCCGGAAAACGCTTCAACAGCTGCAAAGCAGTGGCATTGTGAGAGCCCAAACCCCAAAAATCCAGGATTTGAAACTGTCCTGCGACCTGGAGCTATGACTCCCCCATGAGGTGGAGCATGCCAAAGAGTCCCACGAGTTTCTTCCAACTCCTACCCCGTGTTGTTGGTGACACCCAGAGACATAGACACGAAGAGCTACATAGATTTTATGCGAACGAAGAATGATCCTAGATAGTACAGGTCGCATCTACATATCATTCTACAGGACTCAGGGCAATCCTAACAAGACCGTTAAAACATGGCGATACTGCAAGGATGAAGCACTTCAGCGCGCCGATAATGCGTGACACATGTGTGCGTTGGTAAAGCCACCAAGTGAATGCCATCACCCGCATAGAAAGCCACAACGACAAATAGTTGATTTTCGGACACACTCACGGATTCAATTCAAACACATCGATGCAGCCCCAAAATGCCGCGATTCATAATGCTGGTGTTCTGTGGTGTCAATGACGGATGTCTGCCTTTCTTGAAGACGATTTCACTACGAGTAGCAGTGCACAAGCTCACATGAACAAATGCACATGAAGTAGTACGCTTACGATACGCACAAACCACTAATCTCACATACTCGCACGGGTCCCAATATTCAATTCTCGGCTCGTGCCCGTGCGTGTGACACTGCAGAGATACCGTGGTTGCTGGTTGCACTGGTACTTGTGGTGATTATGATTATGCTCTTGCTGCAAATATTACACAGGTACCTGATCCCGAGCGTACAGATTGCAGAGAGACTACGCACACAATTGTACGATGCCCATGCGTGCTCACACCTTAGTTCTGATTCATACATACGTATGTATATAAACTTATCCAACAAATTGGTTGACTAACTAGTTAATCGTTCTACATATGATATTATATATGTATATATATACATACATACATACATACATACATACATACATACACACATACGTACATACACATACATACATGCATAGATACATCCATCCATCCATCCATCCGTACATACATACGTTTGTTTAGCACTCGCGCTCGACCAGGTCAGGCGAGGTTTGTGTCGCAACTCCGCAAACTCAAGGACCCTCTCTCGAGCCACTGCATACATGCATACATACGTACATGCATGCACATGCATACAAACACACGGTTTCTGGGGGCCCGGGACCCGAGCGCATACTATATTTATATATATATGTGTATGTATATATATATATATATCTCTCTCTCTCTCTCTGTGTGTGTGTGTATGTATATGAGGGTATTGGATCCAATACCGGCAGGTCCTCTTATCAACACCANNATCTCCCACAGCACAAGTAAAACAAGCAAGCAACACATAAGGTAGACAACCAATACCAAAGAATGTTCCCCCAATCTCCCCACTAAATAAGTAAAGGAAGTGAAGAACACAAAAAAAGGTAGGTACATGAGGGGGGGGCACCATAGATATATATATATATCTCTCTCTCTCTCTCTCTCTTCTTCTCCAGGGCATGAGTGCTCGGTTAGACCCCCCCCGGCCGTTGGCCCCAATTCTCAGGGGGTTTTCAGGGTGTATATCTCGCTCTCTCTCTCTGACTGAACAGAATACAGTCATACACATGTTTACAGATATGTTTTCTACATTATGTATGTATGTATATATATATATATTCATGCGTACAGATTTCAAAACAATCTGCTGCACAAGTTGCTGCAACCCCGTGGACATATATAAACATGGACGGATACACAGGAACACCTTCCTTTAGACATGATGTTTTTTTGTGTATTTGCTCCATGCATAGCGCCATAGCGGCCTTCAAAAACAAATCCGCTCTAGCCCTCCCCCTTCATCTTAATGAGTTTGCATCTTTAAATGCCGTCTCGCGGCCTCTTCTCCCCGAGAAGCACTTCCAGCGCCCGCGCTCGCCGAGGATCAGCGCAGCCAGCCGCGAGCTCCGCGGCATCTTCAGCTTCCGACCGCGCCTCCAAGCCAGAAGCTTTCAGCCTTCGAGTTATAGGCTCCAGTAAATCCTGATCCCCAGCAAGCTGCTTTGCTTCGTGGAGTTCCCCACGCACTTCCCAGAATTCCTCCCAAGAACCGTCATCCTCTTTTGCTCTCCACACCGAAAGCCTGAAAAGAGTAAGAGAAGCATGCAAAACATGTTGCGAATGTGAAGCGAATTCTAGCAGACTCAAACCTTCGCGAGCGACACATGCACCCGTCTACATCTCAGAAAACCCGGCTATGCTTGGCTAAGGCTCTCTGGGTTAGCATTGTTGAGCTTCTTGATGCACTGTTAAGCTTTTCTCGCTTTTCTCTTGTTGATGCAAGTGACTGCGTTGATGCTACGTGGCGCACTTGCAACAAGAAGATTTCTGCAAATACATCTTATCTATCGTTTGTTCTTTGCCTCCTTCCTGGCTAGGACGAACGAAATTGAAGCCTGAGAATAGTATTGTGCTGCCGAGGCCGTTGATTGCTGATGCTACGACTTCGGACGTCATGCGTGTACAACTACCGGGCCCCTTGAAAAGCTGTAGTTTAAGACCTTTCCGCACTACTTGCAGCTACAGTCTCGTTGTCTTGCCGTTGCCCGGTCAATTTGGTGTGCATATCCCAGTGTACCATTTCTGGGTGAAGCAATGCCCCACATTTTGGACAAAGCCACTTGATTTTGCAATTCGCCAGACGGCTGTCACTACATGGTGTACGCGGCTCGCGCGGCCACCGGCCGGCAAGCACATGAGGAAGCAACGAGAGGCCGTTCGCATCGTAATTTACAGTTTGTTCGGGCCTGACAAAGCTAGAGTGTTTTTAAGAGTGTGGATGTTGAAAACTATCTTGAGGTCTGGCAACAGCAAAATAAGCGGAATCTGAATGCTGGAAACTGCTCTTCGCTTGTACTTGCAAATGCTGAAACACGTTTTTGTTTGAAGAGTTTGCCAAACATGGTTGGCAAGTGACAGCAAAGTCCTCCCTTATCTTATCTTGAGGAAACCGGAGAAAGACGCCCAATGCCGAAGACGTGGGCAGCGAAACCCTTTCCAAGCACAGCAACAAAAGCGCCGCGACAAGCAGCGCCAACCCCCCATGGCCCCTGGCTCTGCTCTGATCCGGAACCACCACGAGGCGGTGCCAAGGGACGTCATTATCCCCCGCCCCACCCACTCCCCCCGCCACCCGCGGATCCAGTCGAAACATGCTGAACATCAAAGTCCGAAGGTCCGAAAGCAAGGATAAACCCGAATGTCGAAAATAAAGAAAGAAGGAAGCCTGGAAGTCTGAAGCCGGATGAGCGCGCAGAGTAGCAAAAACCCGAGGGAAAAGCTATGGGTTAAGGCAAAAACCCTACAAATGTGGTGGTCGCGCAGAGCGCGGTGCATGCTTGTGTTCTACTTTCCTCTTGGCCTGCCCCCCCATGCCCCCCCATTTCACGACGCGTATAGCTATACAATGCTAAACGCACAGCTCTGCAGCACATCGCACTTCATATACCCATTCTGTAAACATACACCTCATTGAAATCGGTGCTTCTGGTGACGGCTGTGTCAAGTCATTCCTCGCTGCAGCAACCCGCTCATGATTCTGGTCAAAGACGGTTATGGTACCATCTATGCTGGCCAGGACGCTGTCTGGGGTGCAACAGTAGCTGAATGTGAAGGACGGGCACTGTGCCCGTTCCAAGCAGCAAGGGCTAGGCTTAAGGGTCAAGGGCTTCAACCAAGTACTTCTGAAAATGTGGGGCGTGAGGATCGAACAAAGTGAAGATGTCATTCGGGCTCGAGGGTTAGGGGAGCTCAGCTGGATTTTTCTGGCTCGGGGCCCTATACTCTACCATCACTTGAAGTCCCCCGAACACTTAAAAGCCAGTCGATGAGATCTGTCAGGCTGCAAATCGACCGCGCAGCTGCTGAAGGAGCGCCCTGGCAAAGCTTTCAGTGATGGCGTGCTGTGGTCGAGATTACAATGACGAGTGGACGAATTCAGTATATGGACTCCGTAAGATCAAAGCCGTGTGCTAAGCTGTGGATGCAGTAGATGAAACAGCATTCACATCGTCATTTAAGTACATCCTACATATGCAAGTCTCACATCGGTTCGTTTGCTCGTGGAGGTGTGGGAAGCGCTTCAGGCCCTTCCATCTCGCCAGTCGTTTCTGCGGAAACACCACGGCCAGCCAAATCCGGTGGAGGTTCGTAGCCCGCAAAACTTGCATTGTTGAAGCGCGTGTTTCTCGCTGAGCTTCAAACCCAGTTTCGGGTTCAAGGTCTGCCTCAGCCGGGGTCTCGCATGGCCTAGCATGGCCTGGGGGTCTCGAGTCCGGATTTGGGCTGTGGAGAATCGGAGAGCCATTCTGGCTGAGAGATAACGGCTCACAAGCAGAAGCAAAGATTGCAAAGAAGAGGCTCCAAGAAGGCCGTCATCGTGCTGGATTCTGAACTTTGTCTCGTTTGGAGGTCGGGAAAAGTAAGTTCCTGAAGTCTGTCGTATGAATACAGGAGTAATACAAGTCCGCGGAGGGCAGGGGGAATGGGGATGCGGTTCCGAAACACGCAAGCCCTGGCAACTCTGAAATCTTGAAATCTTTTCGGGAAAGCTTAGAAAGTCTGAGAAGCCGAGACTCCACAGGCATCCGGAAATTAAGGATCACTGTTCCGGATCAAGAGATCTTGTAGCGTTTTGACACGCCTCAGCTTCGTCAGAGCCCTTCTTCGCGCATTGGCGTCCCTGTCGCTCGCTGCCAGCCTCGACTTATGGGTTTCGGCCGGCTTTTGCTTGGAGTGTCTGTGTTGTGTTGAGATTGTTTGCATCCGACCTTGCAAGAGTCAAGCCCATTGTTCTGTGGGCAGGGGGTTTCGGGTGCTTCAGCGTTCGATTGCTGCAGGACCGGGATCATTTGCTAGGGAGAAGTCAACAAGCCCCAGCCGAAAGCTCAAGGAGTGCGAACAAAAAGCCAAAGACCCCTTCTGCCGAGCTTCCGGTCCGAATTCAGGCCATCCGCACCAAGACCTGCGTAACTCAGCGCACATCAAGCTCCTCCCCGAAAGGCTTAAAGCTTCTATACTGGCCAGCCTTACATCCGTGCAGTGTTCCATCAACCGGCACGCTTGACTTCTGACATCGTCTGACTTCTGAGCATTTCTGAGCCGAACATGCCGATGGCTCAACATCCCAATCTGTGCAGGCAAGCCGCTCCGGCTTAGTTCGTCAAGCCTGGGAGGGCTCATGGCACGCGAATCGTGTCATGAGAGTGCAGAGGAATGCGCAGAACACGTGACACAGGCGCGACGCTAGGGTCCGGATGGGAAGGCGCATTGAGGCCCCCTGCCACCTGGCACTATGCAAAGCACGGTGACGCAAGTCGGAGGAAAGCTGAAGGCGACCCTTTACCCCTGTCACTCCGAACACGGCACCCCGGAATAGTTAGAAACACCGCACGCAAGAAGAAATTTTACCTAGCCCCAGTGCTGCAGTCAGGGGACCGCAGGAAGGCCAGGACCCGCTCCAGTTGATCAGACAGCGTCTTCGCCATCAGCCTGAAAGGCGCAAAGACCACAGAACGGAGGATAGCAGTTGAAGGCTCAAGGTTCCAGCTTTTGGGTTGAAGGTCTCGGCTGTCACACTCAAACACTTCAGGAGAGGCATGATCGCACTCTTGGTGATACTTCTAGTGCCGAATAAGTTCTAATCGACAACTATAGATTCAATAGACGAGAGCCTATCCCCGAAAGGATGCATTTCATAAGGATGATGAGCCTATCCCCGAAAGGATGCATTTCATAAGGATGATGACACACCGTAGCATGTGCACTGCGACCGGGCCTGCAAGCTTTGTAGCTCTCTGAGAAGTCAAAAATCGTAAAATAGAACTCCTCGATTTAAAACTCCATGCCCCACATCCGATATCCTCTCTCTATCCAAAGCTGCTATAAATTTCTTTCAACAATCTACAGACAACTGCGACTTGAAATATCTGTGTAACGGATGCCCTAAACCTTATAAGACCCCAAACTGCTCGGCCTGACGTGGAGTGCCGCCTCGGTAGGTCGCTCTGGGGGTGGCGGAAGCAGCTGCAAGAACTCATCCTGCGTCTCCTGACAACTTCTTGGTGCTTCGTGTGCTTGGAGGTTTACAATGGGGTCTCTAGGGGCAGTGGCACGGAGTTTGAGATCTTGAAACGATATCGAGGTTAATTGGCAGCGCCTGCAGAACATGACTACGGCAGTGACTACGGCAGCAGAGGCTCGCGCTTGGTTTTCGGCAAAGCACGGGTCGCATCAGGATCTCAAAACACTCATCCCCGCGGCAGTGAAGGCCGTCATGTCTTCGCATTGCTGAACGAACGCGGTCCAGTCACCAGAGCCTCCCGCACGCTCCCAGTGTCGACGCAAAGTCTCAGCTTGCTCTTTGCCACCCCGTGCCTGCACAGAAATCTGGGCCCCATGACGAAGCATGAGATCATAGGCTTGCAAGGCCTCTCGACCACGGTGAACGAATCTCCCAAACAAGGTATTCCAAGCAGTGGGCACACTGCGGCCTGGGATTAAGCCACCTTGGACGGTTGGCTCTGCCTGCAAATCCTCACGGCATCGTCTGACAGCCTGCGCCACATCCGGACTCCTTGTATCAAGCGAGATCATTCGCACAAGCAGGGTGTTTGCTACCTCCTGCCTTGTAGCCATTGCATGCGGCTGCACCCAAGTCGCAAAATTCTGTCCATTCAGAAAGAAACGGACTTTGGGCCAATAGTGGTTGAACGACCCCACACAGCAGATTTCGTGGAACAAGTCTAACACGTCTTGTCCCACTGGCTCACCGTTCGGCCACAGACTCAAGGTCCTCACGCAGAGATCAATGCTCCCGTATTTCATGCATTTTTCACCAAAACGTGCCCTGTGCCCTTGAAGCCGCAGATCGGTTGTCTGACCCTGGTGGATAGCAGGAAAGTCGTTATAGAACCTGTGCTTCGGACGCACAGCCCAGCCGCCTCTAAGCACCACCCGCCCAAGCCAAGTGATGTCCGGGCACTCCGTTGCAACAGCGGCCAGCTCTTGCCAAGTCTGGGCAGCCACACCAGGTTGCCGTGGCTCAAGGCCTGCCAGGCTCGAGCCCGCCACAGCAGCAGCGGCCTCAGCATCACTTGTACTGGTGCGGGGTAGCTGAAAGTGCGGATGGTGGATGCCGCGGCCAACGCCTGTCTCGCCGTCTGCGCTGACGCATTCTTCAGAAGAACTATCTGCGAACTCCGCCGCTTCGTCCCGGACGAACTGCATGTCTAATCCGGACTCCTCGTAGAAAAGGCAGAGTGTCTCCCAAACCATGTCCTCGCCATACTCCGGATTTTGCCTGATGAACCTTGCTGCCATGTCTTTGCCAACCACACAAGCGAAACCAGGAAATATGCCGGGCACCTGCACTGTCACATCACCCCTCATCAGCATCGGCTGCCCATACAGAGAGAACGAAGCATAATGGGTGCAGAAGGCGACCTCGAATCGAGACCTCATTGCAAAGCTGTCCTCGTCACACCCAGAGCCATAAAAGCACGGCAGTACACGCTCCGATCCCAGCACGTCATTTTCAGGACTCGTCCTTCAAGTGAGACTCTACTGAGCTTGGTTCAACAAGGGAACGGGGCATGCAAAATCACCCCCATGCTGAAGCAACAGCTTCACGTTCAGGATGAACACTTGCCTTTCCTCCTGTTTGCCTGCATGTTTCTGGCGGTAAAGAGCATGAATGCACACGCGATGGAACTACCGTATTTATTGTCAGTAGATAGACTTCGTTGGAATTTGCAAGCCGCGGTGCGTCCCCTGCTGGAAGAAATTCAGTGAGGGTGTGCCCACCAGGAGGTAGCCAGAGAGGCAGGGAAGCTCTCGCCACTGGTCCTCAGATGAGAAGCTGTCCTCATTCCGGAAGCATATGCGGGTCACGAAGTCGTGGACCAAGCCGCGCTTGTTGGTGGTAGGTTCATTCTTCCAAGTACACAGTTCTACTCGGTCCACTGAAAAGTGGTCGGATGGTAGCACGGCGATCATGGAAACACCTGCGGGGTGCTGTAGATATTGACGAGATTTGCACATTCGAGGTATATCGAGATTTGAAGTCATGTCTGCAATCCTTCACCCTCTTTCACTTAGCCCCGTACATATCCAACCCTTCTACCGATATTTGCAGCCAGAACCCTAAACTTCGAGAAGCCGTGCCTGAGAGATTGGGGCACCACAAGTTGTCCTTCAAGCTTTCGAGGATAGCTTTCAGGCTCTGGTTGAAGTGATGCAAGGGGCTCGCCCGTGCCCGACACCGAGATAACTTCGCCAGCACTAGTGCATCACTGTCGTTGCCACTGACGCGCTCATGCCTCTCTGCCTCCGTCACTGCTTCAGGCGCTCCTTGAGCCCATTGCACAAGGTGCCACCCGGGGTCGGGCATGAGGCGGAGATGAATGTGACGTAGGCACGTGCAGCGGGGCAGGAAATTTCGCAAGACCTCGGACCGACCGGCCAGGCCTGGGGAAATTGCAACCTCAAGCACATCTGCATTTCGAGGACAAGCCGAGACATCCACAACGGGCAACGTCAAGTCCAAATGACAGATTCTGCGCTCACGAATGTGCTGCAACTCACAGGCTGAGCAGTGGGACTGGATTGTCGCAGACGTCCTCGACAAGTGCTGCAGATCTCCTTCGTACAAGTAAATACAATCCAAGATCTCGCGACGCACACCTTGTCGTGATAACATGGTCGCAAGGCATTCTTTGGACCAGCCGGCCATGTTTGAAAAACTCTTTGTTTGGACACAGTTCGAACATAAACCCCCAACTGTCGCAAAACCCGTGACAATGCGGACCCATCTCCTGAAAGCTTGTGAACTCGAGCCACCAAGAGGCACTGCTTCAGTTGGCTCTGGTAGCTTGCTGAGAGGGTGGAGTGAGGCACCCTGTGAGCAAAATCACACAAAGCTCGCTACTAAATGACCGTTAATGGCACCCTCTTCAAGGCAGCGGGGATGCCCTCCACTTGACATCTTGAATCAGGCCGTCGGCAATGGTGGTCTATTCCATCCCCAGCAAAGTCTTCAAGTGGCATTGCTACTATTCTGCTGTTCCCCTTACCAGTACGATTATATTGGGGTTTGCCGTTGCCTCACAATCGTACATGTACAGGCCTGGATGTACTTCTGTCTACATGGGGCATGAAATTCAGACACTCAACCAACCTCGAAAGACATCAGCCAAGACCCGAATTAGAGGCCACAGATCAGGACGCTCTCCAGGGCCTCTTCATGTCTCCTTCTGGTTTCTGACTCCGGTTTGAACCCGCGAACCACTCCTCGGCTACCGCTGCGCCATCTGCGAGGGGAGCGCTTCGGAGACCTCCACGTGGGGTCCGTGGCGGGCTGCGGAGCAAAACATCGCAACACTGTGCCAGTCAGACCAGTAATCGATTTTCTGTACTGCACGATCTCGAACAACCATAATCTCGGAATAGGGTGTGAGGGGGGAGGGGGTTATTGGAAACAAATTTCTAATGCTTATAACCCTCTCTGTAACCCTGCCTTCCGCCAGCTGCCGGAAGAGGGGCGCCGAGCTCGGATTCACTGGGAAGGTCAGCATCAATTCAACGGAGTCGAAGGGATTTTCCTCAGTGGAATCATAACCGCTAAACCTTTACTTAAGCTTGAAACCCTAGTCTAACTCCTACATCCCTTGCTTAAATTCTGCAGGGGTGGGGCTACTGAACGGGCACATATTTGCCCACTGTCTCCCACTTTCACGGCGAGCAAATCCAGAAATGGCTTTGCGCTTAGATGGCTGAAGGTTTTGGGGTTGCCAGGCTCCGTAGCAGTACAGCAAAAAAATAACACCTTTTCAACAGGACCAGGACTTTGAAGGCCAGGAGCAGGAACGACAAAGCCGCCCATGAGCAGCAGCCGCCCGTTTGAGGCCGGGGAGTAGGAATAAAACGCCTCGCGGGCCATACCAGCAGAGATAAGCCTCATGAAGAGTCATAGAGTCATAAGACTTCAGAACAACTGGAGCAACAGCATCCATAACAGCGACAGCAACAGGATGATGAGAAACAACGGTGACAATAGAAACAATGCTTTCTCGGAGCGGGGGTGTACAAAAGCATCATGTTTCTACAAGGAAGCCAAGGAAGCTACCAGCTACCACCGCAACAGTGCAACGACCTGCAAAACAACGGTCAGCAGGAGCAGCAGCAGCAGCACCAGCACCACCATCATCAGTAGAAGCCCATCTGCAAAATTGACAAGAGTGGATTTCCCGGTTTGGGTGCGAGGTTTATCAGACTCTCTGAGATGCGTTTCGGGCAGTGAAGGGTGAGCCTGCTCACCCTCGCCGAAGGGTTTGAAGGCACGGATCACTAGCATCTCTTTTCCCTCGGCCGTCTCCAGCTTCACATCCTCGTAACCTCAAACAGCAGGCCGTCACACAAGTTGCGATGCTCCCTGTTTCTTGCGTATTGCGTGTCAACTTCTGCCCCCCCCCCCATGCATGACATGCGCGCCAGACTTTGTTTCACGACACTGTGCCATGCTGTTCTGCATGAGATGCTCAAGCCTGCAAGGCCCGGCTTGCAAAGCCACTGGGACTTGGACAAGCACCAACATTACATGAAAAATAGGAGTAGCAAGTGCTGAAACCTAAAGCCTTAAACCTCAACACCAAAACGCCATCCCTGCTTGCAAGCTGCCCACTGCTTCACAGCTGTGGTTGAACCTCGCAGGCCAGGGGGCATGTTGAACAAATACAAACCAATCTAGCTTGCTAGCTTGGCATGCTCAGTGCAAACTACTGCATGAAATCAGGGACTCGACCAGGGACTCAGAGTTGGAACCACCCGGACATAACATGTGTGCTGAGACCCCGATCCAGTGACCATCGAATCAATGTCATAATGTTGTCGGAGGTTCCGGGTGCAAGAACGGTGCTCAAAGTTGAGCAGTACAGTTTTTGTTTGCAGCCCGGTTCCGGAAAGCAGGTCTTTACCTGGGGTTTCGACTCGCACGCTCGCACAGGGCAGGCGCTAATGCCAGCAACACGTCTCTTCCAACTAAGGTGCTATTCAGCCATGTGCGAAGGTTCCGTCTCAAAGCAAACAGCCAAACACATATCATGTAAGAACCTATCATAGGGCCTAGGGATCAGGCAGGGCTCAGAGCACGTCATCCTGGAATCCTGGTCCTCCGGTGTGGAGTTGTTCACCCTCATCGGAAGCCACAGCCCGAACTGATCGCCAGTTCTGGCAAGAATCATGTCACTGGCACCCGAATACAGAATCGTTGAAGAAGTACGAGGCAAAAGCAAGTCCCGTAGGGGGGCATTCTCCGAGCTCCTGTGAGAACGAAACCTTCGGAGTACGGACTCGTAGGGCCGATGGGCGCGAAGCCAAATGAGGTCTCCAAGGTCCCCATGCGCCAAGACGAGAACGAGGACTGCGGAGGGAGAGAACCCGGAACTTCTGCCACATCGCAGTCTGTCGTGCAAAGGCGGCATAAGGACAAATCACAGTGCACCAGCATGGCCCTCAATGCCAACGCTGCAAGACAAAACTCGATCCAACAAAAATCCACGAGTCAAGAAGCATGTCTTGTCCTGGCCCAAGAACCATCAGCCGCGATCCACCTCACAAAGCCCTTTTGCAGCTGGGCTCTGAATGTTTCCCACGCTCTGAAACCCATCCCTGCTCCCAACCCCAAGAGCTTAAGGTCTGACATCCCATGAGATCGATTTTGCAACGGCTGCTACACTGCCGACAAGGGGGAATGCTTCTGGCTGCTGCGCCGACGGCGATGACGACGAGCAACAGTAACTTGCAGCCATTGTGGAACGAGTTGTGGTCATACGCATGAACGATGAGCATGTAGTAAGAAACCCTGAAAAATGCAGACACCCTGGGTGAGCAGAAGCAACGAAACGGGAATTGTGTTTGCGTGGGTCTGCTTCACAGTTGTGCATGTTTGTGGCGCTGCTGTTCAGGACTGTGCAGACAAGATAGGTGGACAAGCACCTAACCAGAAGGTGATGTTGATGCAATGGGCGCAAAGGAAGTGCTTTGTAGATGCGGATTCCGTATTGAGGGATACGGGGTTCCCAGAAGTTTGTGGATGTTCGTTGATCATCTCACGGCCTACTTCAATCGAGCTTCGGCGGACCCCGAATCGAGGTTAGGGCGCAGGTTCAGGTCCCAGCCTTCTCTGTAGAAGGTCATGGCACGCGAAAGCAGAATCTTGTGGGCCCATAAGAACTTCTCCTGCGTGATGCCGTGGGTCTGCAGGAAGTCCCCAATCACTTCCTGGCCCATATTTCAATGGAGTTTGGCTTTGCGCATGTCCTGTTGCCCGGATGAAGCGTGCTGGCTCTGAGGGCTCGACATCCTCAGAAAGTCCGGGCAAGAAAGTGTTCATCATCAGCAACGGCCAGAACGACTCGAAGCCTGGTAGCTCTCGCGCTTTCAACCCTGCTCCCACATGCCTCGAGCTCCGCGTGTTCGGCGATGATATCCTGCGATGCCATGGGGATGGGACACTTACAACTCGGGTCATACACCCCCAAACCAGGACGCACAGAGTGCATGACTGAAGTATGGGCATGCATCCTCAACTTAAGCATGCCCCCTTACCATGAGGTATATGGCTGAGGCATTGGGAGGTGCGGAGCATCAGAGACTTGCCAGCATGTGCCAATGAGTTAACTTAGGCACACATCGGAAACGCGCTCTGGCAAAACTGGGCCGAGAAATGGCCCGCAATCCGCACGACTCCGATAAAGCCCTCTAGACTCTCTAGATCTTGGCTCGCCGGCCTCACGCATTTCGTTTGCCACCATCTGCCACTTGCTACCGGCTAGCACCTCCAGCTCTTCGTCGGTCCTCGTTGGGTGCAGGGGCTTAGGATGCTGGGGGCTGAAGTCCATGGGATAACCCTTAGGAACAAGAATCCAAGTGAAGGCCAGCAAAAAGCACAAGGCATTGAAGTGCACATGTAGCCTGATGCTCAACCTTTTTTATGGCGAGGCCTCCGTACAAGAAGAGCCCTGGCAAAGTGAAGGAGAGATGCCCAATCAAATTACGGCTTGACATGGAATCCTTATCGAGACTGGTTACCGAAGAACTTGTAACAGTTTGGCCAGCACAGCTGTCGCCTGCACTGCGAGTCCAAGCTTCCAGTCTAACAAGGTCTCTGTGGTCGTTGCGCACATCGTCTTGACGTGCTCATGACCTCCGCGAAGGCCATTTGGCACTGCTTTCTGCTACATGCTCACGACTATTGCTTGCCAACCTGTTCGGGCCAGAAATACCGCTACGTTTCAGGTCATAATAGATGGCAGTTCCATGTTTGCCAAAACTGCCGCGATGCTTCTTCTGATGTGATTGGTCGGTTGGTGCTTACAGCTTGGACCTTGTTCCTTCTGGACCGCACTATTGCAGCAATATCTACCTACTGTGTCGAGAAGCGAAAGCGCTCGGCTGCCGCACCGTTCGCCACCACAAGAAGGTGCAGTGCAATCCTGGACCATCGTAGCCGCTGTAACAATAGTAGCAGCATGAGCAGCAGTAATTGTCGTCGTCGTCGTGGCATGAGCAGTAGCAGAATCGAACTCACATACACAAAGCCTCCTGGTGTTGCTTGCAGTAAGCATTGTGCCACACGAAGGAATCACAGCCATGGACCTCTTTTTTGATGCCTGGTCTGATGAGTCCAGCCTGATCGTAGCATGCCGTGGCTTATCAACTGCATCTCGCAAATGTGCAGCAAAACAATTTGCTTACCGTAGTTACCGTAGTTCCTAACATTAGACTCTACATACTACGGTCTCGCGTTCGCGCATGCTGTCTCTGTTCCTTGCATGAAGTGCTGCCGACGTGCCACACCTGCTTGTTCCGAAGATTCTCGAATACAGCAAACCGCCGAAACTGGAGTCTTGGCGCAACATTGAATATTCACTGAGTCTCACAACCTTCCGGCTTGTCTTGCCGAGTGTCTGTGTGGCCTGGCGCGTGCAGGCTGCTCGGGACTGTCGGGAGAGGGTATGGTCGTCCAAATAAGAACCTCGAAATGAAATATCATCCGATACCCTCGGGTGCTGTCGATGCCAGCGACCACCCCCTGGTTCCGAACAACCACGAAACTATAGTTATAGCCTGCCAACATTGCCAAATTCATTGCTTGCAGGCTCTCAAAAGCACGCATGCATCTACAATAGGCCGTACGTGCCCGGGCCAATGTTCCAACCCCGGTGCGCAGCTCTAAACTCTGAGCACTTAACCCTAAACGTAAACCCTAAACCCATAATCAACCCTATACGCTCTCTAGTCAAGCTGGGGCTGTCAGGTCGCCGCTCCAAACTCTCAGCCGTCGAAGCTTCAGTTGCTGCGGTCCCGGTAGCAAGCTGTCCAAACCTCACGAGCCCTCCATCATCGACCTTTTACCCTTGCATCATAAACCACCGTGCCACCGAGCCTTCCAAACCATCGCGCAAGTCCCTGACGCTTGAATGCTTACACCCCAACCAAAAAACAGGGCAGCCGGACGCCCTACACCCGACTAAACCCTGTATATCCCAATATCCTGTCCTAAATTCCGAAAGCCCTACACCCCAAGAGCCCTCTCAAATTCCACCAGCTTCCAAACAATAACAAGGTACTAAGTTTTTGGGCAAAAAACAGGAACCAAAAAAAAAAAAAAAAAC